CACTTACCATCAGGTAGGCTGTGTGCTCGTTTGTCAGCTCTTATCAGATAAAGTAAACTACTTTAAACAGTAGGGTAAAAACTACGAGTACATTGTCTCTTAATGCTTATTTAATTTAAATTAAACGACAATAGGCTTACATAATGATTTCTTATATTTATATATTAAAAATAAAAGAATTAAAAATAAAAGTAAATAAAAAGTAAAAATAAACGCGATAAAATCCGTAAAAGTAGTTTTAATCACGACAATAGGCTAGTTTCTAGTTGTCCCTACAAGGTTTTCTTGCAGTATTTTTTCCTTGGCAGGTGGATTGACGATCGCAGTAAGTACCAGACGTAATGAACTTTTGACACCGTTTTCTTTCACCGGTCGGATTGTTTTGGATCTGGCGTAGACAAAGTTATAATACCGCGAAAGCAATATTTTTTTTAAAGAAGAGATGCAAAAGGGCTTGAGGCTCATCTCATAAGTGTTGACTTCTGCCTACGAAAATACTCCGAAGAAATTGCAGGTACGTTGCCAACTTATATGATTATCCTCGCATTACCCATATTTGCCGTTTTAGACACCCACGGGTCATGGGACGAAATTGTGTAATGTATTCCCGTTCAGATTCTAATTTTGGATTCTTTAACGAAGTCACCATACGGCACAGATTAATATTATTGGTATTAAATATATGATATTGTTGAAAAGTGAAACATGAAATTCCTATAATTAACTTTAATTTCAAAAACTTATCGAGGCCCATGCTGATTTTGAGGGACATTTTGCTGTTTCATACTTACACAACACTGCTTAATACCATAAATAAACATGTTATAATTTACCTAGTCGTTTTAGCTTGGTGATTGTGATGTATAGTAACCAATCAGTCAATACATAATAAATAAAGTCGCCATACACTTTTACAACTTAAGAAACCATTACTACTACATTTAAGAAACCATTTTTTTTTAATTTTGATGATTAACCTAAATAAAGTGATATTATACTGCGTGTTTTAAACAACGAGCTGATTCTACTAGGTTACAGACAAACGCAGGCAGATGAAGACATCTAACTTCCTATTTATTTATTTATTTAGTTTAAATAGTACCATACATGGTAGATCCATGCTGCAGTTATATTAGAAGTATAGTTGTAGCACGAGTTGGTCGGCTCGACCGGGGAAGGACCACGCTTTCACAGAACACCGGTGTAAAATACTAGCCTAACGCTGCTGTATTTCATATGGTGAATGTAGAGAAACGGAGACCCTTTTTTCCTCACGGGTGACAACGCATCTGCAATTTGATTTGTAATCGAAGATAGACGTAGATGCTTATGGGCAACAGCAGCCACTTACCATCAGGTGGACTGTGTGCTCGTTTGCCTTTCTGTCCTATAAAAAATCATACATGGTCATGTTATTACCGATTTGTTTTGATTTATAATGTTATTTATGATATATAAATATTAATCGACCAAAAATATTAAAACAAAGTCTCGATACCGCGTTTGTCTGTTTGTCAGTTCTACTTCTTATAATTAATTGATAAAAGTAACTTACCTGTAAGTGTCCTTCGATCAAAATTATATGAAGTTGACGCCTCCTCTGTGTTGTATACTATGTAGTCATGAGTTGACGGACCGAATCACACGAATTTTATCCTTCCATGGTAAAAAATAAGTTTTTTACTGGTATCCCATATGAGCTCCTACTGGCAACACTATACGCCTCATGTCATTGTGAATTTATTTCATCTAGAATTAGGAAATAATTAAAATGCAAGCAAGCGCTAGGGGTGGGTAAGAATGTACAGCAGGGTAGGGTTGTACACAGAGGAGGCGTCAACTTCATATAATTTTGATCGAAGGACACTTACAGGTAAGTTACTTTGATCAATTAATTATATTCGTTGACGCCTCCTCTGTGTTGTATACTATGTAGATGTTGAAAGATTAGGTTGCTTCATTTTAATTATTTATTATTGTATTAATCATATCTAAATTGAACAATTTACTATAAAACAAATAAAAGTTATACATAATATTAATATTATACAATCATAAATCTTGACAAACATGTTTGTTAAATAAATTAAACTTTCCTCTGTTCTACTCTATATTGTTAAAATGGTAAAGCCAAAGTTATTTTCATCTATTAGTGGCTTGTTATAAAATTTGGCGAAGGTTTGAGATGTACTAGTCTAGCCTGCGGTTTTCCTAATAATGTCAATGCTAATACCACTTCTCTGAGCATGAGAAGTAGATGCATGTCTAGTGCTGTGTGCAGTAAAAATTGATGTATCTATGCTTGCTTCTGTTAATATATCTTTAATCCATCTACCTAATGTCTGGCTCGTAGCAGCAGTATGAGGTTTTTTGCAAATAATGAACAAATTTTCAGACTTCCTTAAATTTTTTTGTGACATATAGGTAATCTTTCAAGGTTGTAGCTGGACATATACAAATATTCGGTTTATAAAATGGTATAATTAATAAAGGTTGAAAATTGTTTATTTTAGATGTTTTAACTGTATCAGGAATTTTAATCTTAATGTTATCTTCATTATAACTTATATTACTTATTTTAATTAATGACATTGTCTGAAGTCTATGTCGAGTTACTAGACTTAAGAGAATAATTAATTTTTTTGATAAAATATCTAGAGAAAGTTCTATGTTTGGGTAAAATTTAGCTACATAATCTAAAACTTGTGTTGGACTCCAGGTTTGATCATATTTGGGTTTATTTGGCCTCATTTTATAAATACCAGAAAAGAATCGCTTAATGTCTCTGTCTGAACCCAAACCATAATCTAATATGAGTGATAATGATGACCTCATGGAGTTGAGAGTTCCATAGGCAAGACCACAATTAAATTTCTCAGTAAGAAATGCTAAAATTTTTGGAATGTTCAATAGAAATGGATCAATTTTCTCACTCCTACAGTAGCTCCACCACTGTTTTATACATGAATCATACTGTCTAATTGTGTTTTCAGACAATGAATTAATTATTATTTTTATGCTTTCATCAGTTAGCCCTTTTCTTGTATATATTTCCCTGATAGCACTGCGGCAACCAGGGTAAGTTTGTGGTGCAACGGGTGAAGACTCCTGAAAGGAGATGTTAACAGTTGTTTATCTGGGTAAAATTTTAATAAAGCAGACTTTTTTAAAGACATAAAGTATGGGAACCAGGCTTGAGAAGGCCAAAAAGGTACCACCATTATACCTTCTGCCCTATCAATTTCTATCTTTTTTAGACATTTTAAGATTAAGGAGAATGGTGGAAAGGCATAAAATTTGAGCTTGGTCCAAGAAATAGTAAAAGCATCTACAGACATACTGTTGGGTTCCATATGCCAAGAAACAAATTTCTTACATTTAGCATTTTCTCTGGTAGCAAATAAATCAACTTTAGAGTATCCAAACTTAGTGACAATTTTTCTATAGGCATAAGAATTTAGTTCCCATTCTGTCTCTTTATTAACTTTTCTGGATTCTTTATCAGCAAGACAATTATCATTTGATGATATGTAAGAAGCAAATATGAATATATTCCTTTTTTCACAAAATTGCCAAATTTTTCGAGCTAAGTTACTTAGGTGTGAGTATTGTATGCCACCCATTCGGTTAATGTAAGATATAGCTGTAGTGTTATCACAACGGATTAGTATTTCACAATCATGGGAATGTTTAGCAAAACATTGTAATCCCAAGTGTATCGCCTGTAACTCTAAAAAATTAATGTGTTGTTTTTTATCTTTTTTATTCCAAAATCCATGTAGTCTTTTTGAGCCACCAATACCCCATCCACTGCGTGAACTATCCGAAAATATTTTTACCATTTGATAAACACCCTCTTTAATCGGATTACTTGATATCAATATGTGATTTTTCCACCAAATAAGATCCTCAATAACGTCTTTTTGATTTTCCAGAGTGAATTATCAATTGAAATTATTATTATATTTCTTCAAAGATAAATACTTATAACGCTCTAAGCGTTTTGTATACATTAAACCATATGGGATAGCTGGACAAACTGATATGAACATACCTATTAAGGAAGCAAAAAGACCTAATTGTTGTGGATTTTAAATTCATAAGTGACTTTATTTTATGTAAAATATTTATGCGTTTTTAATTTGGTATGGAAATTGTATAATTTTCACAATCTAATATAAACCCAAGAAACTTACAATGTTTTGAAGGTATTGGATTGCTTTTCTTAAAATTTATAATAAAACCCAGAGATTCTAGCACTTTACAACTCATGTCTATATTTTCCTGACACTCTTTTTTCTGAATTACCTAGAAGCAAAAAATCATCTAAATAATTAACAGAGTTAAAGCCCTGTTCTCTAAGGTAAAACATTATTGGTTTTATTAATTTTGTAAACACATATGGTGCAGAAGAAAGTCCAAAAGGTAAGACTTGAATCTCATAAGTTTTATCATTAAACATAAACCTTAAATATTTGCGACTGCTTGGATGTATGATTAACAAATAATATGCATCTTTTAAATCAATGGAACCTAGGTAGGACCTTCTACTTATTAACTTTAAAGCAGTTCTTATATCCTCCATTTTACAATGATAGGTTTGGACAAATGTGTTAAATAATTTCAAATTTAGAATGAATCTTGAGGACCCATCTGATTTAGGAATTAGGAATATTCTAGATAAATATTGACCAATAATCGGTTCACATACTTTTATTGCCCCTATTTGTTACAATTCTTTAATACAAGTCTTAATGATAAGCTTTTCTGGTTGACTAAAGTTAGTATTATTGGGGGGATATGGTTGACACACACTATGATTTACAGGAATTTTATAACCTAACTTGACCCATTGTAAAACTGTCTTATTTATAATAATATCAGCTCATTTAGAGTAGAATAAAGACAGGCGACCGGCTGTGGTTACGTCTATTCTCTCCTTCTCGACGAATGCACTCGGCGTCTGCTGCGAGCTGCTCGGAAATATCCCCACTGCTGGACTAGGGCAGGAGCTCGAGCTGGTTGAGGATCTTGAATGTCTTGTATCTTCTCTGTTGTGACTTTATCCTGCTCAGGTAGTTGCCCCTTTGCCCGCCTCGAGGCTGATATGGAGTTGACATTGGTGGAGACGGGCGCCAATAGCTTAAAGGAGTTAGTAAACCTTTTTTAGACCTTTCAAGGTCCTTTAATCTTTTAAGGACACTGCTTATTTCTCCTCCGAATAGGAAGTTTGTAATTTGAGTTTCATCAAGGGCTTCTTTCATATTTTTATTTAAACCTGGTAGAATAACTGCTCTTCTTGTGGCAGACTCCATGTAGTGTAAATCACATAATAGTCTAATACTGTCACTTATCACATCAATGTTTTCTTTATCTTTTTTCTTAATGAGATCTGACAGTACTATATTCAAATTTGAAATTACTAAGCCAATTTGGTCTTGCTTTTCACTTAACTTTATATCTCTCGTTCTAGCATTACTACTTAAAATAGCAGTAATTTCATGGTTTAATTTTGGGGCATTTAAGGTACAATTTGTCATACAAGGAATTTTTTCTACAATACCCCTCTTTGATTCTTTATCTAAGCCCTTGGTTATAAGAGACTGCCATAGTTCTGCTAGCTTAGAATTTATTTCCAAGGAATTTTTCTTTAGATAAGGTTCTCCAATCAACCTAAGAATATCTATATCGTTTTCTTGGGTATTGGTGGTCGGAACAGAATCCTGATCTTCCTCATCGCTTGAATAAATAATATATCTCTTTTTTGGTTCTGAAATTGAGTGAGATCAGTTGTAAAAGAAACATAAAAATATAACCACATGTACCCCCTCAGTGGTACCGCGAGTAAAATATGTCCTAATTTGTACATTTTTTTGGTAATAAATTAAATTAAACTTCGAATACCATGCCTCGTGTACCCCCTCGTGGCACCTCAAGGCAATCATTAAATATTTCATATCTCGTGTACACCCTCGTTGCACCGCAAGACAATTATTAAAGTTTTCTGTTAAAATAGGTCGCCAAATTATCAAAATATAATAAAATGTATATAATAACGTATTTAAGTATGTACAGACTCCCGTCCTGTCTTATACATAGGAATTTTGTTACATTTTACGTTCCTACGCATTTATGACGCCATTATGCATCAAATAAAAAATTACCTTCGTTGGAATCGTCTAAAAGATTAACCAGTGTTTCAATGAGTTTCCTCTTTTTACTCATGTTAGCATTCACTAATAAATATCACTATTATTAAGAGTATTACTTAAAAAGTTACGAAAATAATTTTAGGTTGGAGAGTTCGACTCGTTGATTCGGCACGAAAAAATTCACAATGACATGAGGCGTATAGTGTTGCCAGTAGGAGCTCATATGGGATACCAGTAAAAAACTTATTTTTTACCATGGAAGGTTAAAATTTGTGTTATTCGGTCCGTCAATTCATGACTGACATGACATAATATACTACTATGATGGCTTGCAATAAAAATGCAGTGGTATTAAAGTGTAACTTCTTTTTATCCTTACACAACCAATTTATAAAATCTATCTTAAAATATATTGTGCGTATGCCGAATTATAAATAGACATATTAGCACGTACTCATTTTGGCTTTAAACATGTTTCTGTAATCACTTTTATGGTGTTTGGGATGTATGCTTAATTACATGTAAAAAATTAAATTATATTTGCTCGAACTACTTAAAGGATTTTTTATCAATCTTAAAATACCTATAAATTCCGATGGACCTTTGTGCAACTTTGTATAATAAAATATTGAAAGCGCATTATTTTAATTAGGTATAATACCGATGAAAACTATTTCTACTAACTTTCAGATTAATCTTACAATTCAAATTTAAATAGTTAAGTTCTCACTATTCCCGGTTAATATGGTAAAAAGATATTACTATTATAATTCAGATATTATGGGGAATAACTCCACATGCATTTCATTACTACACGCCACTAGACGTGGTGGGCCCATTCTACATACAAAAGGAGATTGTCTTCTTTGAAGGTTTTACATAATCATCCGTTTTGTCCCTTCAATCGCGCATTTTAACAGGTGAATAGAGGCTATAAAAATTCAGTATATTCACAGTATAGCTACGTATAGCTTAGTACTTGCAAGCACACAGTTGTACAAACCATCGATGTGGATGTTTAGTCGTGTTTTTATTTTATCGATAACGACATAATTGTGCGTTATATGGAACTAATTTTAAAATACACAACGCAGTGTTGGTGCCGACTTTGATATATGGCAGCGAAACCTGGGTATGCCAGAAGAAGCATAAAAGCAAGTTGAATGCAGTGGAGATGCGATCTCTTCGTGTAAAATGTGCGGCGTTACCATAGCCGACCGAAAGCGAAACAAAGAAATCCGCAATATGGCAGGATTGAAAGATGACCTTATCACAAAAATCGATAGGGGCGTACTCCGATGGTTTGCGCACGTTGAGCGAATGAGTGAAGACCGAATGGTGAAGAAAATATATAGCGCGAAAGTAAATATTAAAAGGTGTCGAAGTAGACCGAGACTAACTTTCGAAGACCATGTTGCTCACATTCAATTACTCGAACAGGGGAAGGTCAAGAGTACTCGGATACCTAGACGTGCATGTATGAAGAAGATAATGAACCTGAAAGAAGCGAAAGAGGGATGTAAGGATCGTGACACTTGGCGATCTGTTCTCTCTGGCTACCCCGTTAGGGATTGTGCGTGAAGATAAGTAAGTAAGTACACCAATATAAATATACACGTAGTCTGAGGATCAAGTTTATACTTATTGTACATTAAATAACTATAGCTAAGAAAGTTAAAATTCAGAAATAATATTTAATAGGAGTGCTCAATATTTTACTTGTCAAGTTACTTTTTATAATTATTTTTAAACAGCTATACTCAACTATAACAGCTATACACTTTAGTTTACTTTTTACTACTTGATAAAAAGTAAACGAGATTGTACAACCAGTGCGTGTTGCCAGTGATGACTTACGGATCTGAGACGTGGTCCTTCACTGCTGGCCGTATGAGGACGCTCAAGGTCGCTCAGCGAGCTATGGAGAGGGCTATGCTCGGAGTTTCTCTGCGTGATATACTCAGAAATGAGGATATCCGCAGTAAAACCAGAGTGACCGACATAGCCCAACGGATTAGTAAGCTGAAGTGGCAATGGGCCGGCCATATAGCTCGAAGAACCGATAACCGATGGGGAAGAAAGGTTCTCGAGTGGCAGCCTCGTACCGGTAGGCGTAGTGTAGAGCGACCCCCCACTAGATGGAGTGATGACCTTGTAAGACATGCAGGAAGTCGATGGATGCAGGTGGCTCAGGACAGTGTTTTGTGGCGTTACTTGGGGGAGGCCTATGTTCAGCAGTGGACTTGTGAAGGGCTGTATTGACGATGATGATGTTGATGATACTCAAATAGTTATGATTTAAGTGGGTACCATTTCCATTTAAAGTAAAATAAATTTAGCTAAGGTGCATATACTTAATTATTATTATTTAATCTATATAATTCAAATTATTTCATGAAATGACATTCCATGCTATATTTTCTCCGTTAAGTATTTACAAATTTGAAGCAGGGTACGCAGCGAAATGTGAAAATCTGGAATCAACTTAAGAATTGAGAAAATGTTAGTACAATAATAAAAACAATATAACATTCCATTATCTACTCGTACATCAATTTTTTTCAACGTGACTAAATTCTTCATAAGGCTTTCACGTTAAAAGTATTTTTCTAATTATCAAATATGTTTCAATATTTTTTTTAAATTTTAACAATATTTTTTATATATCAATCTTTTAGAATGTTGATGAATATGATAAACTTCAAATAAAACGGATTTACGGATTTTGTCGCGTAAATTAACCTACTTTATTTCAAACACTTTACAGCACCCATAGTAACAGGGGGGACTGAGGTGTTCGACGAAGCAATGTGTAGTTAATCACAGCTACCTCCATAGATTCATTTCTGCCATATATATTTTCAGTACTAAAGCTTGTTGGGTCAAGGCACAAATATAACAAATAGCCTCTACAGCCATTGTTTTATATTGTGATGTGATGTGTTAAGCTGTGTTATATTTATGACTAATGTTGATTTTTGGGTTGTTTTAGTGTAGCTAATTCTCAATAAGTAAGTTTTTAAACCGATTAGTAAGCTGAAGTGTTAATGGACGGTTCAGCTGACAATAGATGGGGAAGAAAGATTCTCAAGATTCTCTTTTTACGTGGTAGAGCCATGCTGCAGCTATATTGAGGTAGCAGCACGAATGGGTCGGCTCAACCGGGTTAGGTTCACGCTATCACAGAATACCAGCTAAAATTTCAGTTTAATTGTGCTTTGTTTCGTATAATCGGTGTACTTTTTACTGAAAACGAGACATTCTATCTCAGTCCTCATGGCTAGAAACGCATCTGCATTTTGATTTTTAATTGAAGATAAATGTAGATGTCTATGGGCCACTGCATCCACTTAACATCAGGTGGACTGTGTGCTTGTTTGTTATCCTTATGCTATAAAAAAAGAGTGGCCACCTCATTCTGATAAACGAAGTGAAGGGCGGTCCCCCAATTAATAAAGTGACGACTTGGTAATTTATGCAGGAAGTCAATGAATGCCGCCTGCATTCATCGACTTCGAGCCCAGGACCATAAAGCAAAAAATTACATAATTTTGTAATATCATTAAGAAGTACCCTACCGGCGTCACCGGCAGATACGCTTACAAGATCTTTGAGATGCTGAGGTGTAATCCCGTCAATGCCGCCGGCAGGGCCATTCGAAAAGGACAATATTGCGTCTAAAGTGTCTTTTTCAGAAATTTGTAAAGGTTGCATAGAAGTATTGGGAGGCAGCGGTAAATTCTGGGAAGGATTGACCGAAGGATGTTTGTAACGAAGGCCTTCAAGAGTTTCGACATTACGATGAGTGAGGATGTCATCTGAGAATGGAATACGGGATGCATTTTTTAAGTCGCCGTCCATTACTTTTGATTCAACTACTTTTTTTTAAATCAAATTTAAGATAAGGTTGAGAGAAATGAGTATTAATCGGGTAATCAAAATTTTGAAAAGAATTTTCTTTTAGTTGCGACGTAATTGATTTATTTATTGTTTTATTAAAATGAAAATGGGAATACGCGAATGTAAATATTTTTTGCCAACTCTTTTCACAATTCCTTAGACAATTTTGAATAGTGAATGATAATGCTTTAGCAAGTTGCATCCTCGCAACTCTATGAATTCTTTTAACCACTGGTACGTTACTATACAAATTGTATAATTGTTCCGAAAAAAGTGAAGTATTTGTGTCATTAGGTATATTACCAGACGAGTCATGAATTTCTACGGTAGGCTGTGAAGCCGAAATACTTTTACTATGGCAACTTCAAATATTTTATTTAGAGCACTTTTCAGCATCCATGGTCACAGGAGGATAGAGTTATTCGACATAAGACATAAACACTCACGCCTGTCACCCAGAGGGGTAGGCAGAGACTACAGACTTCCATTTGGCACGATCCTGACACACCTCTCTCGCCTCCTTCACATCCATACACCTCCGCATACATGCTCGTCGGTTAAGGGTACTCCTAATTTGGCCCGTTTTCAATAAATCGCCAATTTGGTCGATAAATTTTCGC